CATTTCTGTTGTTCGCCCCCTGGGAAGGGGTTATATGTCAATCATTGTGATTGGTTCTCCCTTTCTCCCCCCACCTTCCCCCTACCCTCCTGGTATCACTACTCCCAGTACTTTTCCTGAGGAGTTGATCTGTCTTGGATTCTATGTGTCAAGAGCTCTTCTTATCTGTACCAGTGTGCATGCTCTGTTCTAGCTAGATTTGTAAGGTAGAACGGAGGGGGCGGGGAGCATTAAAGAACTAGAGAGGAATGTTGTGTGTTTCATTGGTGCTATACTGCATTCTGTCTGACTCATACCTTCCTTGTGACCCTTCTATGAATGGATGTCCAATTGTCTATATCTGATGGGCTTTGGGTCTCCAATCCGGACACCCTCGTTCACATTGATATGATTGTTTGTTTTTGGTCTTCCGATGCCTGATACCTGAACCTGTGGACACCTCGTGATCACACAGGCTGGTGTGCTTCTTCCATGTGGGCTTTGTTGCTTCCCTATTAGATGGCCACTTGTTTAGCTTCAAGCCTTTAAGACCCCAGGCCCTATATCTTTTAACAGCCGGGTACCATGAATTTTCTTCACTACATTTGCTTATGCACCCATTTTGTCTTCAGCAATCGTAGTGGGAAGGTGAGCATTACAAAATGCTAAGTTATTAGAATTAAGTGTTTTTGCATTGAGGGAGTACTTGAATAGAGGCCCAATGTCCGTCTGCTACCTTAATAAATATATGTACATAGACCTATACCCTTATCATTATTATAAATATATTTACATATGTACGTGCCTATACTTATAACTATAAATGTCATTTGCCTCCTAATTCTTTCCTCTATTTCCTTTTACTTTCTTCCTGTCCCACTATCATGTTTGACTTTCATTCGGCTCTCAGTAATTTCTTTAGGCAATTGCTGCATTCTTAAGGAATAGTGACTTTAGGTAAATCATATTGGCAGATCTGTTGAGCTATGTGTTGGACATGGGAAAAGACCACCATGGTGACCAGGATAATAAACTAACGACATGTAGCTTTAGAACTGTTACAAAATCTGGTGTCCACTGTATACATTTTTTCAGTAGTGCCAAATTACTTCCAGGGTGAAGAAAAGGCTGTATCATATGTTCATAAATTGTCAGATATTGCAGAAACAAGAAAAAGATAGTTCAAAGGTAAAAATCCATGCGCAGTCTGGATTGGGCATCAGCCTGTAAAATTGTGGGCCAACAGCGCCATCTGGTATCCAGCTGCATAACCACATATCGATTGGTTTTATTACTTAAAAACCTCACTAATAATCATTGCCATAGGAGTTCAGGTAGTTTAGTGGATGACCCATTGGGCTGGGAACCATACGGTCAGCAGTTAGAAACTCCCAGATGCTCCGTGGGATAAA